AGGCCCGGTTTCACAAACGGGGCTTAGCTTAAGCCAGGACTAGACCTTAGTTAAATTAAGATATTTAAGCAACTTTTACAAAAATGCCTTAGAAGAAAACATTACAGGTGTGCATCTTGACACAGAACAATGACACTGACATATTTTAAAATATGTCAGAGCAAGATATTTTCAGTTGAGACAAATCATACGTGCATTTTAGTCTGGGACTAGCTTAAGCCTCGTCTGTGAAACCGGGGGTAAAAGTGTGTCCCATCAGGTAATGAAAAGTTCTTCATGCTCACTTGAAGTAGTCAACTATAGACTACTATAAGTAGCCAAGTGGTCAAGTGCAAACACCAAAAGTGTGGGTATTTGGACAGGGCTCTAATTAAAGCCATTAAGTGATTAAGTAATTAATTTGAGCCATTGAAATCAATGATTGCAGTATTGTATTACAACTCTTTATTGAAGACATTTTAAAAATCCTTATGGGAAAATGAATTGGACAAATAATTCTGGAACCAAGGCTGCTGAAAAAGTGGGCACTGTTACACTATATTGGTTTTTGGGCAAGCAATGGCGAAGGTTTACTACAATTACTGTAATTAACAGCCTAAATATTTCTCTGTTTGAGCCTCTTCGTAAGCCACTATATATATATAATATATTGCACAAATGATATGAACCACTTTTATGGTTATTTTCGGTTCTTTTGAAGCTTGACATTGTAAACCATTGCATTTTTTTAGGTTGATCTTGACACATCATTATATGGTAGAGAGATGCTTTAGGATTCTTAAAACATTCTCCTTTTGTATTTCATGAAAAAAAAAAAAGTAGCAAACAGGCTTGGAATTAAATGGTGATAAACAAATAATTCCAACATTTTCAAAACAAAATAAAAATGATAAAATGTTATTTCTTTCATTTATTTGTTTATTTTTTTGCAGCTGGGCTGGTCAATCGGGCCTGAACACTTGATCAAACACCTCCAGACTGTTATGCAGAACAGTCTCTATACATGTCCGACCCCATTACAGGTGAGTTTTGTCTGTTATTATAGAGCTGTACACAATGCACTGTTCTAGGCGACGTGTTTGTGACATGGTTGTACTGCTCGGTAGGAGGCTGTTGGCCAGGGTCTTCTTCGGGACTTTGAGCTGATGGGTAAACCCGACTGCTACTTTACCTCTCTAGCACTAGAGCTGGAAGGGAAAAGAGACCGCATGGCAGCCATGTTGAGACAGACTGGCATGACTCCAGTGGTCCCGGAGGGAGGATACTTCATGATAGTGGATGTCACAGCACTCAGTAAGTGGCTCGAAGTGACATTTGTTAAATAAAAAAATACTTACAAAGGCAAAGGTGACATTGTTTGTGGGAAGTTAAATCTGATTAGTGTTGTTCTGTCTTGTCTGTTGAATATAGATCAGGACTTGTCACATATGGGGGATGATGAACCATATGACTACAAGTTTGTAAAATGGATGATAAAAGAGAAGGTATTCTGTTTTGTGATTTTAGGAATAAATAACAAGACAAAGCACAGTAAAATGCACAGAATTGTCTTCAAAATTATATATATATATATATATACTGTATATATAATTTATTTTTATTTTATTTTTTAAGAAACTGGCTTCGATTCCTGTAACAGCTTTTGTGGGGGAAGATTCAGTAAAGCAGTTTGAGAAATACATCCGTTTGTGTTTTATCAAGGTAAGGAGTGGGTTAATTTTAGGCTTTTACGGGAAATATTAATACGCATCGGACTCAGTGTGCAAGGTTTCTGTGCGTGACAAATTTTTAGGATTTCGAATACGATACAGTAAAAACACTGCGGTCAAGCCAGCCACGCTTTGAAATACACGGTCAAGCCAGCCGCACTTTTTTTGTCTTGCGCGTGTAATCGTGCACTTACGGTAAAGAAGCTGTCATACCGACGTTTCCTTTATACTTTTGCTTATTTTAACTTTTATTTTTTATTTTTAGTTTGTAAATACATTATTTTTGTACATAAATGTTTGTATTGTACATTAAATATTATAAATAATTTATTAATGTTTATAAATGTTAATATTAATGGTTTTTATTCATTGTTTTTTTTAATTTAATGTTTGTGTGTGTGTGTGTGTGTGTTTGTATATATGTGTGTGTGTGTATATATGTATATACACTGAACAAAATTATAAACGCAACACTTTTGTTTTTGCCCCCATTTGTCATGAGCTGAACTCAAATATCTAAGACTTTTTCTATGTACACAAAAGGCCTATTCCTCTCCTCTATTCATTTTCAAGGCATTTTACTGTATAGTTTTGGAGAAAACTAAAAGCAAAATCACCCAAAATACCAAACTCCATTGTTGCACTTAGTAGATTACTTGATTAGCAAACTACTCATTAGTTAAGCCCTAGATTAATTAAAACATTTCAAAATACAACTGCATTGTTTTACTTTTTGTGATTAAAAGACAAATATTTTGTCATTTGAAAATTTCTTAAAGTATTAAAGCATTGTCTCGGTCTAGTGAACCAAGTATATGCATTTTGTCTCACCTTGTGAACTAAGTGTATTGTCACACCCCTAGTGTCTATGAGCGTGATAAAGCTCATAATTTTCCAAGTGTATGATATAGCTTTCATTCTTCAGGTCAATCATATATTCATGAAAAAAAATCAGTTTAAATAAGGAAAGCAATAACTTTGCAATACTATCCTTTCAAATGTTAAAGTTGCCACAGTCATTGCATTCTTTGCATGTACCGCACTTTATTTGTACCATTTTGTTTTATTTGTTTATTTATTAGAATTTGAAAGATAATAACAATATTGATTGATAAGTGAGATCTGATTTTAGTCCTTGAAAACCAAAAAAGTAGTGCAAGTCCTTGAAAGTCCTGGAATTTTATTTTGCAGTATCTGTACGAACCCTGTTTAAAGGAAACCCAAAAATGAAAATTAGGCTGTTTTTTACTCACCCCAGAGGTATCCTAGGTGTATATGTCTTTCTTCTTTCAGACGAATCCAGTCGGAGTTAGATTAAAAATTGTCCTGGCTATTCCAGGAAGCACCATCCTTCGGATGAGACGTTAAACCGAGGTCCTGACTCTCTGTGGTCATTAAGAATCTCAGGATGTCCTTCGAAAAAGAGTAGGGGTATAACCCCGGCATCCTGCCCAAATTTGCCCATTGGCCTCTGACTATCATGGCTTCCTAATCATCCCCATATATAATGATTGGCTTCATCACTCTGTCTCCTCTCCACCAATAAACTGGTGTGTGGTGGGCGTTCTGGCGCA